TTTTATTAGAATAATAAGCAACATGAATATTTCAAATAGTAGTGGTTTAATTTCATTTTTGTCCCCTCCCCTTCAAACATGATATATCTATGAATGGGTGAAACTTGCAAAATTCTTTTATTTATGATTTTATACAATATTTCCTTTTTAACAAATGAGTAATTTATTACAGATTAGTACATCATGGGGAATAGGACTCATCATTGGCCCAGCTTTGGGAGGTTACCTTGCACAGGTTTATATCTCTACTTGTATCTTGATATGATCTATGCCAATTGCATATAACATATAGCAAAATGATTGAAAGAAGGGTATAATATTTTTTGTTAATTCCTTTTATCTTTTTGTTTTTGGTTTAAATTAAGCCTGCAGAGAAATTTCCTGCTCTAGTATCTTCAGATTCACTATTTGGGAGGTGACTTACTTATTTCTTAATAATGATTTATTATTGTTATGTTTTCAAGTGGCAACAAATTACAACTTTGACTTGTGATGCAGATTTCCATACTTATTGCCTTGCCTTTGTATCTCCATTTTTGCACTTTTTGTGACCATTGCTGCATTTTGGCTTCCGGTATGCAATTTAAACTCTCTGTTTTTCTTGTACTCCCAGTTTTTTTTTTCTTATTTGGACAATGTACTTTGAAAATGAAAAAAAGAAAAAGAAAATCTATCCGATTATAGCTGTGAAAATTGCTTTGTATCTAGATGATATTGCTATAACTTCGTAAATTTTTCAACATACAATATGCTTTAATAGGAAGAAATGAAAGTAAGATGCTATAATAAACAAATCAATAAAAGTTCATTGTTATTTCTTGCATTTAACTAATTTTCTCAAACTGTAGGAAACATTACATTTTCATAAAAAAGACGAGTTGGAGTCTGCTTCATATGATACTGAGGGAAAGACAAATGAAGGAAAAGATTCAAATTTAGGAAGCCTCCTGAAGAACTGGCCACTAGTGTCTTCTATTATTGTCTATTGTGTTTTTTCACTTCATGACATGGCTTACTCAGAGGTAAGTTTACCTTCTTTTCTCTTTTACCCTAGGATTGATTTAGGGCTATTGTTTATTGATTTATATACAATTCTAGACCACAAAAAAGAAAACTAAATCAGTCATAAGGTAACACAATCAAATCAAGAAACCCTAATATTAAATCATATGGTAACATGATCAAATCAAGAATCCCTAACATGGTGTTTTCTTTTATCTTTTTTTACAGATTTTCTCATTGTGGGCTGTGAGCCCTAAGAGTTTGGGGGGGTTGAATTATACTACTGAGGATGTTGGGACAGTTTTATCTGTTACAGGTAAGAATGTAAGAAATAACAATGTAGTTTCATTAATTTGTGTATAAATAATACACATCCCATTTCCATTTCTTTCTATTACAACGTTTTATTTTCAACCCTTTATTATAGCATTCCTATTACAACATTGTATTTTGAAAAATACACCGAAATATAGCAATATCATCAAAATAAAAGCAAACCTCACTGCTATAATAAGAAAATTATATATATGAAGTACAATGCTATATAATTCGGTAGATTTTCTAATATACAGTGACTTAATAAGAATAGAATTTAATGTACAATCTTTTAAGATAAAGAAATGGAAAGTATGATGCTACAAATACAATACAGTAATTTGTCTTGACACAAAGTATGATGCTATTTACAAAAATTCTTATTTTTGTAGGAGTTGGACTTCTTGTCTTCCAATTCACATTGTATCCAATTATGGAGAGGATATTTGGCCCCATAGTAGTAGCTCGCATTGCAGGAGTAAGCAATTTTTCTTTAATTTAGTTATTCTTTTACCATTTCTTTAACTTAATTATTCATTTTTGATGTAATTATTGAATTTGCACGAGAGAAAAAAAAAGGTTTTATATATGAATCTTGAAAAATGGGAGGTTTGTTTGATAAGTGGATTTGAAATATGTTTTGTGTAGGTTGTGTCTATACCACTACTCACAAGTTATCCATTCATAGCCATGTTGACTGGATTTGCTCTCTCGTTGACTTTAAATTGTGCATCGATTATAAAGAATGTTTTATCTGTAAGTTTTTCAGGGACTAAATCTGTCTACTTCATTAATTTGCACGCTACTATTAGTTTATTACTTAATATAAGATAAGATTTGCACATATTTATGCAAAATGCTAGAAATGTTATAATTATTTTTATCATGATAATTTGGTTTCTTGTCATCAACAGGTATCCATCATAACAGGGACATTCATGCTGCAAAATAAAGCTGTGGTAATCTTCGCCTCCTTAATTCTATAGCTTTTTTCGTTTTAGGGTTAGATTCATAAAGTAACAATGCACTTTCATTGATTTATTTATGTATTACAAGTTTATAACATCCTAATTTCATTTTTTCTTATTAAAACGTTGTACTTTGAAAAATCTTACCCAATTATAGCATTGTCATCCAAATACAAAGCGATTTTCACTGCTATAATTGTGTAGATTTTTCTAAGCATAAGAAATGAAAAAAAAAAACTGAAAGTAGAGTGCTACTATTAGAATTTTTTTTTTCAAAGTTTACAATAAATTAATAAGGAAAAAAAGTTGAAAGTAGAATGTTGTAATAAAAAGAAACGAAAGTGTGTTGTTATTTCTTGCATTTAGCCCTTCTTTATATTTGATTGTTATTCATGTGTGTAAATTAACTTTTATATTTTATAAATTTACATCAATTATATAAATAAATAAATAGGATCAACGCCAAAGAGGTGCAGCGAATGGTATAGCCATGACTATGCAGTCAATTTGCAAAGCCATTGGTCCAGCTTGTGGAGGAGCACTGTGAGTACTATACTCATTTTTTATAGTGATTATGTTTTTTGATACTTTAAAAGAATCATTTTCCTGATACCACATCATACATCTGCCATTTAAACTATTATTCTTTTTATGTGATTATTATCATAAGAGTTGAGAGGCTAAATCAATAAAAAAAAAATAGTAGTTTATTGGCTAAAACAATTAAATTGTGAAAATATGTTGTGCTAATCTGTATTTTCCCCGGTTAAAATGTTTTCTTTAAGGGTCAAAAGAAGTATAATCATGTAACCACTATAGAAAATAATTAAGTAGCTAAATTGATAAAATGGTGAAAGTATAAGTACCCTTTTCTGTATTCTATGCTTCTAATATTAAATATATAAAGACTTGCAATAATATCAAAACTCAATTTATTTTATTTTGATTTTTTTTTTTTTTTTTTTTGTAGATTGTCGTGGTCCCAACAAAGAAAAAATGCAGCATTTCTTCCTGGTACGTGTTTTCCCTTGTATCGCATAAGCATTTGGTATGCATTGGACTGGACTGAGAAAAAAGTTAAATTTAATGGTTTGTTTATTTAATTTGCATTGCATTGCAGGTGACCAAATGATATTTTTCATCTTGAATATAATCGAAGCAATTGGAGTTATATTGACGTTTAAACCGTTTTTGATCACACACCATTACTAGTTGGTAGCATTCACATCTAGCTTCAACTCACATTGGGTAACCATTTATACATAGACTTTCAATAATGTCAATATCTATTGACTATTGTTGTAACTGTAAAAATGAGGCCTCTAGCTTGTATTGTATTGTATTGGGTTTTGGATGTAATTTATATAAGGGTTAGAATATGTTTCATGTATTATTATTAATAATTTGATTATTCTAGATAAGGAAGAGAAGGGTTTTTTTTTTTACAACTTTTTCTTTGCCATTTTTTTTATAACAAGTAATCCGATAATTTTAGTCTTTTTTTTTTTTTATGTCAAACTGGGTCGATTTTATTGCTAAAATATTAAACTGGTAAAACCCCATGCTATAATAGTCAAAACAAGTATGTGTGGGTGTGAGTCCATCAAGTCGAGTGTAAACATTTTATTAGCGTTACAAATTAATGTACTAAATATGATAGTAAAAAACAGTATTTGAATGCATTTTGTATGACTTTCAACTTGTTTGGCCACCTGAGTAATTTGACCCATTTGTTTTTAACAAACTTTTTGAATTACTCATGCATAACCAATAGTTTTTATTCGTGGTGAACCATCGATCTTGCATAGTTCTATATAAGGGCTACCAAACAAGCTGCTTAACGAATTTAATATAACAAATTGGTCAAAAGATAAATAAATACCCATATTTTGCTGGCCTAAAAAAAACCATTCCTCAATTTCTAAGGCAAAATACAAACCAAAAAGGGGGGAAATTATAAATAGAATCAAGGAAAAACAAGTGATAAAACACAGTGAAACCCAAAACTTTCTTTTCATTCATCGGTGGATATGCTATATCCAAAAGAATTCTAGTCATTTGTTTTATAATAAGGAACATTTTTTACATCTTTAAGGGAGCCTTTTTCGTTTTTTCCCATGTGCCAAAATATGTTTGGATTGAATCAAAATGTAGCAAACAATAAAAGTTCAAGTGTTTGATAAATTATGTTATAATAATACATAGTACATACTACATACCACAACATATACAAAAAAAAGGGGGAATTGGATGATTTTGGGGTATTATGAAGAAGATCTGAGTTGTCGTAATCTTGATATTGTTAAATCCGGAGCACCAAAACTATCCAATATTGCATCTGCTGAAGGAAACTCAGCCCTTGATGTCAATCTGTAACAAAAAAAATACCTTCAAGAATGTTTAAAAGGGCCATGATAAATAACCTGTTGTCCATATTGACTTAGACAGAGAATATGACATTATAAACGAGATAAATACTCTATCAAAATTCTAAAAAAGTTAAACTATAAACTCAATAAAATCATACCTGCTGCGAAGAACAACACATGGCATGCCAATTTGCTCAGCTGCAGTCACCCCAGGAAGACTTCCAGCAACAAGAACACAATCAGGAACACCTACTTCTGCATATTCAGCTCCTGCTCTAAGTGCAGCCACAATTTTCTTTACACTGAATACGTGAAAATTTAGTTTTTATAAAAAAATCATAAATAGTTATAGACAACTAATTACAAAAAAAAACATACCTTTCACTTGAAGTTGTATCAATGTCAACACTCAATTTCAGAGCTGATGCAACCTCTTTAGCAATTTTTTGCTTCTCAATAGCAGCTGGACCAAAAAGCAAAGAGCTTCCTATTACAAATTGTCCTTTGGAAAAAACAATGAGGATTAGTAATAATAATAATAATAATAATAATAATATACCTGCTTTTCTTGCTTCACTAATTAATTTCTCATCCAAACTTGAAGAAACTCCTTTACCCAATACAAGCTGTCCATAAAAACTTTCCTCCACCTCAATCTTCCCAACAATTTTAATTTTTGACATCCTATCTTTGCCAAGCCTTTCGATAATTGGCCTGTGATTTTTGAAGGGTTAAATGCAAGAAATAGCAATGTACTTCTATTGATTAGTTTATTATATTTATATTTATAGCATATTGCTTTCATTTCTTCCTATTACAACATTGGAATTTGAAAAATCCACCCAATAAGAACAAAAATGGAAGTATAAGCACTTAGATTACTTTGCTATATTTTCACCACTTTTACTGTAGGCAGCTAGTACAACCACAGGAACACCTTCTTTATGTGCATCGTCAATAAAGCTGTAGAAGAAAGAAAGAACCAACATATTCAAGTTAAAATAAGAAATAAAGTACAGAAAATGAATGATGCAGTAAATAAGGACAAATATTATTTACAGAAAAGGATTGCACAACTCACTCTTCAGCACCAGGTCTCAAAGGCAAAGATTTTGACATCACAAGATCTTCCAATGCTTTTTGCTGTCAAAAGTCCCATTGTCTTGGCACATCAAAAACAACACCAAGAAGCAGTAATCATAATAATAATAATAATAAATTCAAATGATAATAGTTATGACAATAATGATGTTCTGCTCAAATGTTTGTGCAGAAATCTCATGTGAGTCACTCATAGACATGCACACATAATAACTGTAGTCCTCAATGTATGCAAAATGATTATTCATCCAAATGAAATGAATTTTTCAGCGATAAAAAGTTGGAAAAGAATAAAAAAGAAGACTTTATTTATATGAATCAGACCTTTTCTCGCAGAACACTTTTCATGAAACTTCCCTTCTCATTAGTGGGGAGTGAAGTAGGCCAACCTATCTGAGAAATGAATTAGCAATAGAAGAAAAAAAAAAGCCATAGAAAGATGATATATGTAATCCATATTTGCTAGCTTGATATGAAAAAAAAAAAAATCACCTTATTGAAGTACAAAGTTAGCATTTCCTCCTCACCACCAAAGCTCTTCCTACAAAGTAAATTGGTACGTCAGAATCTCCTAGAGCAAACACAATGTCAAAAAAGCATATCCATTTAAAATACAGAGAAAACAATCCCATCTGACCAAGTCAATACAGAAGTAGTTCAACTGAATGAAGTAAAAGGAAGAAAGAAAAGAGGAAGATCCAATCATGTGACAACAGATTATTTCCCAAACAATTGAAAGCATGATCTACAATGGCTGAGCCATCTGGTTTTGTAGTAACAGATGATAATCAAATAGATAAGCTTAAAAAAATCACACCTTACAAGATCTAAGTAGATTGGTTCTGTCCAATTTGCACAATCCAACCCCAATTTCTTAAATGCTGGATAAATTAGAGATGCAAAACGTCAATCTACATAAGTTAGAAACTTACAGAGCATTTATTAAACAAAAAGAAAGAAATTTGCAGGTCACCTAAATTGAAGGCTTCACGATTGCCCATGCGATATACATCCATGAGGACCCTGATAAATGGTAAAAGTTCATCAAAATGAAACAAGTTAATCAACTTTTTTTATAAATTAGCCTTACGATCGATGCAAAAATCTTAATTTTATGAGAAAAGTATGCTAACTATATTAGTTTTACAAGTGATACAAATAGAAAATTCTTACTAGTTTTAGCGTAACTGAATTTATTCATAACTCTGACCACATATAAGAAACGAAACATTGTGACTTCTTAAATTCTAAATTTTAGGAACTCTGTCCAGCTTGAAAACTGATGAAAACAAAAAATCTACACTTCATGAGAAATCTGGTAACTAATCGAAAACGGTACTTGGTAGATTGGATAACAAAAATCATAATCGATTTTGCATATGTGATTAAATACAGTATCCACATAGATTTTGCATCTCGAAGCCAACAAAAATCGAAGTTTAGTAACGAATTAGAGAAATTGATTACCCTTCAACTTCGAGAAGAACAGCCAGCTGTCTAGTTGAGTTGCTCGGATCATCAGAACCGCTGCCGGAGGAGGCATTTGCAGCATTAACCCTAGAATGCCACTGCTTGCTTTTGCGGCAACAATTATAGGAAGGAATGCGACCTGAAGTACCAAGACCTTGGGCAAAATTGCGGTTGTGTGACTTGACAATGATTTTGATATTTCTACCACTGCCGGAGCCGGAGCCGGCGCCGGGAATGACGGTTGAAACAAGAACCGTACGTAGAGGTGCGATTTCTATGGCCAGTAGCCGCATACTTTCGTATCTTTGCAGTTGCAGTTGCAGCATGTAGATTCTGTTTTCAATTCATATATACGGGCCATACGGCCAATGTACGAACCTATTTGGGCTCTTATGGGCCTAATTATCAAATAACCCAAACCATCGCGGGACACTTGAGCGTGAGGGTGGAAAGTGGAATTGCGATGATAGAGTTTTATGATGTTTTATAGATTAAATTACACGAATGGTTCGTTTGTTTGCTTAGACAAAAGTTAAAACAATCAACCATTTTAAATCATAATATCAAAGAATCAATTTTATTCATATAATTTTATGGTAGACATAATTGTATAATGTTGATGATTTTAGTGTCATCAGAACATTTTGTGTAATTAGAACTTACATGTGAGGTACGAGTCTTCATAATTTGTACTATAATATATGTTTGCATGCATGTATAAAGTATGTGCGGAGTGCACGCATGTATAAGATCGAATTAGAAGCCGGTTCGGCGACAAGTCGGAGGTCCGGGGGCAGCGCCCCTTTGGTGGGGTCTTGAGGGTGATTATGGTAAAACTAACTAAGATCGTCAGTTTTGGAAACCATTGATTTCTTCATTAATTCTAGATTCCTTTGACTTGTTTCCAAAGCAACCCATGACGGCCAACCCTAAAACGACACCCTACTTATCGTTTTCTATATAAACTGCTCTCTTTGTGGAGAAGAATCACCTTTTAGCTCTCGTTTTTCTTTATACAAACTCAGAATCTTCTAGAAAATTGGCTTACATTTTTTGTGCCTAGATTCGTAAGTGTCCCCTTAGGATTATCCTAAGCTGAGTTTCTTGTAACCCAGACATAGGGTAGAAATATCAATAGGGATTTACACGATCCAATGGGTATCTAGATCTCCACTATAAACCCTACCAAATTTCTAACATACAAGATAATAATAAAAAAACTCATTTTTTTTTTATTTCACTTTTAAAATTTTTATGATTAATCTTATATCGAAAAAAAACATAAATTCATAATTTTTTATCCTCTTTCTATAGAAATCAATATCGATATACAAAAAATGAATATATTTTTTTTTTCAAAAAATCCATTTCGTTTTGTTAGTTTTTTTTAATATGTAGACTTATCTTTTATAAAAAAAATAAAAAAATATATTAAAATTCATAATTTTTGGTACTCTTAAAATAAACATTCATATTGATGTAAAAAAAAAAAAAAATCAAAATTTTAG